ATCACAAAATTAATTCTTAATTAATTATTGACCAATATTAATTAAACAAATATGATTTATACTATTAATATATTATTCCTATAATATATTAATAAATCATTATAACCTCTTTCTCTATTATTTCTCCAATCAAGTTGCTTTGGTGAAGGCAACCCAAAAGGACCATGCACAACCGGGTGAAGTACTTACCAAATATGCTTACGGGCTTAGACACTAATCCAACATTTTCTTGGGTTATTCTCATAATTCGGTTGCATATCGGGTGTTGAACAAAAGAACTCGAAAAATTTAATAAATGTTTAATCTTACTTTCGATGATTATTACATTAAATAAGTCGAAAAATGTTTTGAACAAAAACCAATCATTAATGAATCAAATGAAGTATCTGAGAGGATTGATTTCACAGATTTTGATTATGATTTAATTTTTGGTGTTTCTGATAGGGCAGTTGATGCAAAAGTGAATGTTGTTGAAAATTGTGTGCCTGAAGCATCGAAACATATGGATGATTCCACTCTTACACCTATAAAAATGATTTTTTGTCATAAAATAATTCTTTTCTAAATAACAAAAGTCTGCTAGAAAGGACGAATGTTCAAGTTGAGAGGGAATATACTTTTGAGGGGGGAGAGAGAAAGAATGAATATAGATGTTGACGGGGAGCATCAAAATGTTAATCCAATTGTTGAGGGGAGCAAGTTGGAAACAGTACAGATGTTCCGAATGATCAAACTGATGATTTTCATGGTATTAATGGTAATTTTTCAAATGTAGGTGATGGATCTGAAACTGAAGAAATGTTTGAACATGCTCCATTAGATTTTGATCCATCATATACTCCAATGGATAAATGGATTGAAATCCATCCTAAAGAACAAGTGTTAGGCGATCCACATGAAGGAGTGCTTACAAGAGCTCAATTGAGTGCAAAGAATGAGGTATTTAATGTAAATCAAGAATTTTGCATGTACAACATTTTTATTTCGAAAATTGAACCTAAATCAGTTAAAGATGCTTTTGAATTTCTTGATTGGGTTGTTTCTATGCAATCTGAACTAGCTAAATTTCAAAGAAACAATGTATGGAGATTAATTCCCAAACCAAAAGATGTTTCTATTGTGGGCTTAAAATGGATATTTAAAAACAAATTTGATAAAGATGGCAATATTGTACGAAACAAATCTAGGCTTGTAGTAAAAGGTTATTCGCGACAAGAATGTATAGACCATGAGGAAACCTTCGCCCCTATTGCAAGACTCGAGGCTGTTCGAATACATTTAGCCTACGTAGTGTACAAGGATTTTAATGTCTATCAAATGGATGTAAAGTGTGCATTTCAAAATGGTGAACTTGAAGAGATTGTGTATGTTGAACAACCCCTAGGTTGTATTAACGAAAAATATCCTAATCATTGTTATATCTTAGATAAAGCTATTTATGGGTTAAAACAAGCACCACGAGCCTAGTATGCAACTTTTACCAACTTTTTGAAGCTTTCGAAATTTAAACAAGGATTAGTTGATCCTACTCTTTTTTTAAAGTAAGTTGGGAATCATCTAATGCTTGTTCAAATTTATGTTGATGATATTATTTTTGTCTCTACTGATCCTTCTTTGTCAGGGGATTTCGAAAATTTGATGAAAAGTCAATTCAAAATGAGCATGATTGGAAAAATCAACAACTTTCTGGGTTTAAATATTCGTCAAAGCAAAGAAGCAATATTCATAAATCAAGAGAAGTATACACAAAATCTCCTTGAAAAATTTGGCATGATGAATAACACAAAGCTTAGAGTACCAATGGCATTTGGAACGAAGATGAGTCCTTCGTTAGATAAACCTGCTGTAGACATCACTTTGTACCGAAGCATGATAGGTTCATTACTTTACCTTACTACAAGTCGACTTAATATCATATTTTATGTGTGCAATTGTTCCAGATTCCAATCAATCCCCAGAGAACCACATCTCACTAAAGTCAAGAATATTTTTTGATATCTTAAAGGAATATCTTTGATGGGATTGTGGTATCCATCAAAAACAGGGTTCTTTATACAAGCATTTTCAGATCCAGACTTGGGTCGTTGCAATATAGACCGCAAAAGCACAAGTGGTGGATGTCAGTTACTGGATGGGAAGCTTGTGAGTTGGCAGTCGAAGAAACAAGCTTGTGTTTTGATTTTGATGGCATAAGCAGAATACGCGGCTGATATAGCTTGCACTTCTCAAATCATATGGATTTAAAGTCAAGTGCATGATTATGCAATCAATATGAAGAAAATTCCATTATATTTCGATTCACAAAGTGCCATATGTATTTTCCGCAACCCTGTGCAACATTCGAAAACCAAACATATAGCTCTTCGTTATCATTTCATAAAGGATCATGTGGAAGAATGAAATATTGTAGTCTATTTTGTAAAAACTACCGATCAGTTAGCTGATGTTTCTACAAAACCTTTGGACGAAAAATATTTTGTGAGGATCATGCATGGCTTTGGGATGTTGGATGCAAAATTTGTTCCTGGATAGATTTCAAAAGAATGAAAAAGGCAAAATGATCGAAAAATGTCGATATGGCAATTACTGTTCATGGTCAATGCTTCGACATGCGTCATTTTCGACAACATGCTCATCGGTTTGTCAATATTTTCTTTACTTTTACTTTGTTACAAGTTTTCATTAGTCAGGTACACTTCTTTTGTTTTCATTATCAAAAATCAAAAACAACAAAAATATTTTCGTTCTTGTTTTTACTTTTCAAACATCAAAAATACCAAAATGATTTTTCGTTATTTTTGTTATTTTCATTCAAAAACTTTAAAATCCAAAAAAAATATTTTTTTTTGTTTTTTGATATTCTTTCCAGGTGAAAGTGTTAGTGGCGATTTTTAGAGGTTTATGTTGGTTTCTTAAGGGACAGGTATATATTTTCGAAACTATGTCCTAGTTAGGATGTCCCTAGAAGCATTTTGCATCATGTCAACCCAAGCCTCCAAGACTCAATGGGTTTCGAAGCCTTAATGGATTTCTCATTTTGAGGATTCTTCCCAATTAGGCTATATTCCTGTTTGTCATTGAGCTATGATACTCTACTCAATTGAGTTTAGAGTTTTTTGCTTGGTCCAAAAACAACAGTGGTACTTTTGAATCTCTAAACCAACCATTTTCTTCTTAAAGTTCTTTCATGATAACACACTATGACATATGTCCAAGATATTTCTTATATCAACCAATTAGGATCTAGACATATCAAAAATTCATGTTTATGATCTAACAACATGAGACCATAATGGAAGTGATCTTGATCAAATGTTTGTAACCCATGACAATTGTTACGTAACAAGATTTACGAATAATTTTGGTTTCAAGAATATGATTTCATTTACAGCTTGTCACTCTTATGTTTAGTTGTGCTTTGTAACAAAATTTTAAGCCACCTTCGAAAATCTGATAAAAGAAGCCCTTCGATACCTCTCTACAAGTATTTGATTGTAATTCACAGTAAACCACACAAGCTGTTAGTAATCTCTCTTGATAAATACCGAAGTGATATTTTCCTGGGATCTTACTGCATTTGTGTTGAAATATTTTTGACATCACAAAACCAAAATTTTCTTATTTTTCTTCTAATCTTTTATTCGCACACATTGCACTCACAAAATCTTTGAGGTTCTGACTGATACCAACTCATGTTGATGATTTCACAAGTCTGGTATATGACCTTGCTTCTTAAACCCCAAAGCGAAAGAGCCTAACTTCCATGCCGAAGGTTGGTGACGGTTCTCATTCTCTTGGTGCAAGCTAAAAGCCTGTGTGATATGATGTTTTGTGTTCCAATCTGGGTTTCAAGGAAAACGTGATGATCTATTGGTCACACATGCCTACTTTTCTGGTGACTGGTGCGGTTTTCAAGTATACACGTCATCCACATTAAATGCAGAAACCGCTTCAAATTCAAAACTACAATTAACTATAGAAAGGGGTTTGGAGGATCAGTTTCACTTTTATGCCTTCTTAAAGTTCACAAGAGATTTGTTTTCCCGTTCTCTCTGATTTATTCAAAGAACTACAAAAACCTAACCATGGAGTCTTAAAACGTAAACATTGATCCCTCCCAAACAATAGATGATGTCTCGTCAAACCCTCTAATAAAGATTAAGATCACTGATTTACAAGTTCAAAGTGATGAAAGCATTTATCCGGAGGAATTTCAGATGCTCATTGTCGATTACAAAAGCTCGATATTGTCAACTGATATGTTCAATTCTTTTGATGTTCCTATGTATTGGTTATCTTTGGCTGGTTCCACTACAACATACATTAAAGCAATGCTGATTGTTACCTTTCAATTAACAAATGGTAAGAAGTTCAGATTGTCCAAGAAGTTATTTGCCAATATTTTGAACATTCTCAATACGGAGCTGTTTTACAAATTTACAAATGAACAAGTGATTCACATGTTTAATGATATGGGTTATCAACCAATTCTCTACAAGATTAGTGAATTCGAGAAGCTAGGGTTTCCATGTATATGGAACTTTCTCTTTGGAATCTATCTTCGATGCTTGACTGGTCAAAGTGTGGGATTGGATAAAGCACGCTTGGAAGTTTATGCTATGGTGGGTGGAATTTATTATGATCTTCAAGTTGATTATGCTACTCAACTATGGGAAGAATTTGTTAAACGTATTGGGAATAAAAATGCCAAGGTGGGAATTTCATGTGCTAGGTATTGGAGTCTTATTCTTCAATATGTTTATGAGAAAGAGGGTATTCAAGTCCTTACAAATGAAGAAACTGTTGCATTTACATTGTATTAATTGCATAAAATTGTGGAAGATGATGCAAAAATATTTCCAAGTGTGGCAAAAATTGCAGATGCGATGTTGTAAAAGGTTGATTCGTTGAATCCAGTGTTGGTGCAATATCTCACAAAAATCAATCCAGATATCAAAACCGACGTATTGCTTACTACCACCAATGAAGGTCCATCGAAGATGAAGAGAGGATCTAAGAAGGAAACTGAATCCAGTCCTTTGAAAGTGGATCCAGTTGTTAAAGTCACGAAGACAATCACCAAGCCAATAGTTACTGAAATTGTTAATCCTTCGACGGATGTGATACCTTCGAAGACTCGTATTCTTAAGCGCCTCAAGAAGAAAACACATAAACCTTGCCATTCTCGGGAAAGTTCTGGTACTTTATCACCTTCTATTTTTCGAAAGCCACAAATTAATTGCAAGGGCGTCATCATTAACAACATTCCTATTTCCATTTCTCCATAAACGAAGAAGAGGAGAGTAGAGGATATGGCTAAGAAGATTTCCAAGAAAAGAAAGAAGTAGGGGAATTTGATGTTGCAGAATAATTCAACAGATGATGAAGTAGTTCCTGAAACGCCTGTTATTGAGCTAATGGTACATTCTTTACCAGTGAGGGATTCTCCCATTTAATCGATTTTTGAGGAGACTGTAAATTTGAATGGTCATGTGGAATCTTTGATAGTGGAGACACCCATCACTCATGGTGAAAAAACCAAACCATCAACTCCTGAGCAGACACTAGTCATACCGCTCGAAGTTTCGCTTACTGAGTCATTTCATGAAGAGGTACGAACTTCAAACACAACTGAAAAAGTATATGATACAAATACACATGTTAATATGGGTGAAGGAGTTTTATCTACCGAAGCTCAAGGTGCTAATTTTATTATATCTTCATCATTCCCTACTACTAACCTTGACACAACTGTTTCATTACCACCCTACATTATGTAACGCCCGGGTTTCGAGGCTAAGCATTTTTGACAATGTAATAGTCTAGGTCAACTATTGCAACTCTTTTTGATGTAATAAAGATGAAATATTTGAGTATTATATGAATTATGTGTATTTATGTGCTTATTATTTAATTATAAATGTATAATTAATAAAGAATAAAAATATGCATCAAAATTAATGTTTCAGATAAGCCCGATATCTCTACATAAAGTTGTAGCAGTCGAAATAATGATTCCGGAGATATAAAGAACACCGAAATCCGAGTTATAATGAAGAAGTTATGACCCATCCAAGTTTCACGACGGACCCGAGACGACACCGGGAAGCGTAAATAGTGAAGTTACGATAGAGTGACTTTTAGCCTTAGAAATCTAAACGAAAGTCGTAGAATATGTTAAACAGAGAGTCTCCATAAAAAGAACGCCCAAATCTGACTTTGTATAAAGAAGTTATGAGATTCTAACGGACCAATCATGTTCCGGCCTGTTAAAAATATAACTTTAAAAATAAAATCAAAATTAGCCGACGGAGTCTAAAGGAAAGTTATAGAGTACGTCTCCACCTACGCGTGGATATAAAGAACGTTAAAAATGGAGTTCGTAAGAACGAGTTACAAATTATAATATCATATTTACGTATTAAAATAAAGTATAAATCATATATACGTACACATATATATACATATGTATACATCATTAGAAAGGTATCGACGATGCGGTCATTATAAAACTAATGTTGGGTTCTTTCGACATTAGTTTAGTTCAAATATCATTAAATCTATTTAAAATAGTATTATGAAGGGGTGTTTAGTTGTTTATATAACTATAAGGTCATTAAGTAATTATGGAGGGTAGTTTTTGTAAATTCAATTACTATAAATAAGAGGCTTGGGCTCTCATATTTCTTGCACCATTCTCTTGATTCAAGAGTATTTCTCTTCTTATCCCCCAAGCATTTCGGTCCCTCGTGATTCGACTTCTCTTTCTGTATTTTTTAGTATAGTAAGGTGAGTGCTGAAGCGCTGCACAAATCTTTATTAGAAAGATTCAGCGACGAAGTTCTGCCCCTGCAGATCCCGACTCCTAGCTAAAATCCCCTTATAAGTAAGTTATGCTTACCTTATTTTAATAAAGCTTATATTTAAAATTAATGTTGTTATTATAAACTTATAATAAATATTTGAGCTATTATTATGACTTATATAAGTGTTGTTATAATATCTTTTTAACTACTCGCGGTACGAGGAATCTGGTTTAAAGGGCCGCATAGGGTTGTTGGATTTCAGAAGTGCTATACGCCAAAATGGTCCTACCCTCCGGCGTTTTATGTCTGGCCCTGTCTATACATAGTGGTTGGAAAGTGTCACACCCCAAAACCAAGAACGACAGAAACGTTTTGGGGCGGAGGACGTCATGTACAATATCACAACAATGAAAACTAGTAAACAAGTAACAACATCATCCATTGCATTAATAATATAATCTTAATACAAGTGTGTTCTGTCAAGTTATAATATAGACACTAAAATACAATCAAAATAAAAGATGAGTCTTGATCGGGCTCCATCTTCTCTAAACCTTGCATCGGTGCATGTCTATCGTTGACGTGAGGATACAAGTTATTTTGAAAGAGAGTATCAGCTTTAAAGCTGGTGAGATCATAAGTATTAATGTGTCTTAATTTGTAAAACTTGTAATTAAAGACTTGACATCGTTTTGAAAGAAAGCTCGTATAAGTATGAAAATGTTTGTAGAACAACTGTAAACGTTTGAAAAACCCTAGAAATCCCTATGATTCCTACTATTATAAAAGGGAGTCTTCTACCAAGACCTAACCGCTCTGATATAGCCTTCTACCAAGACCCGACTGTGTTACTATTATTATTATTATAATAAGAAATTGTATCCTTTGGTACTAGGATACTCAAATATAATTCACCTCATCGGTTATGTGAATGAGTCACAAGATAAAGGTAATAATATAACTAACCTAAGTATTACCCTTTGGTACTAAGGTAACTAACAATGTTAACTTAAGAAATCTGTAGATGTACATTTACCTCTGTTGCTAACAGCTGGGTGTAGGAATAGTTAATCCCTTAAAGTATACCTGTAATGGTATCAACCGTAGGCATCCATAAATGTTCATTATCCTATGTAGCTAACAGTGGCTATAGGAATGGTTAGTCCTAAAGAGTATCCTTTGGTACTAGGATATTAAATCCAATCTATCTCATCGATTATGTGATTGTATCATAAGGTAAAGATAAGAATGAGGATTTTATAATGTAATCTATACATATAAAATGTAATAATAACTCATCATATATTATCTATGTAAATGTATTCATGTAAGCATGTTTATGTAAATGTACTCATGTAAATGTAATCATGCAAATGTAATCATGTAAATGTACTCGTGTAAATGTACTAATGTAAATGTAATAATATATGTGTTGTAATGTTCTGCGTGAGCTAGCTGTAACTTGTGTTCTCTCTCTATCTAGCAAGTATTGACTCATGAATGAACTGACTCATTGTATGATATCGTGTTCTAATAATAGTTTTATTATCTTCCTAAACTACCCCTATGGTAGCTTACTAGTAATGTAACTGGTACGTATGAACATGGGCGTATACCCTTGCTACCCAAGGGTATTGAATGAACTGGAAGAAACTTTATGACTATATATGTACACATGATATATAACTAATATTTAAACGACCTCCGAACGGGTACTCGATATCCCACCAGACCACATCTCAAGCGCGAAAAGGAAATAGGGTGGATAGCCTTCTTAAGTCTTTTAAACATTTCTTATATAACTATACATATATAGGCATGCAATTAATAATATAACAACATAAAATAAGTTTGGTAAAACCTTTGAACATAATTATTATCTATGAAACGATCAACTTGATGTCAATCTATAAAACGGTTTTAAAGCATGGGTTTGATAAAACAGTTTAAGTATAAAGGAACATTTGTTTGAAACACAATTATAAATGAGTTTGAAATGAAGCGTATGGAGTAAAGTGTACAACTTAATAAGGAGTTTTAATCATATAAAATGTTTATGAAAATCATTTGAAGGAAACTTTTTGGTAAAATGGCTAATGAGTAGTAAATCATTTAAATGCTACTTACTAATAACATGTGATTGATATAGTAACTAACATGATTCTACTTGTATCCCCCCCCCCCCAAAAAAAAAAAAACATTTAAAAATAGTTAAAATATTGATTAAGGGGTATGAACTCACCTGTTGTGGGTGATACGGATGAACTAAAGAGGTAAGACTGCTAGGTTTCAAGTGGAGACTTTAGACACACACAATGGTCCTAATTACATTTAAAGACATATGTATATAAACAATTAGTGGTTATAACACTAATTAAACATGTATAAACATCCTAATGCGAGGAAAACACTTTTGGTCAAGTGCTAGGAGGCTAATGGGTTGCAACAAAGGAGTGCAATACCTCTTATGGGAGTTTATGGTTAATAGACCAAGTGTATTGGAGTTTATAGCCTAAGGGAGTAAACTCCTGGCTAGAAACTCTCTATAGGGCCCCTAAATGAAGCTTAACATTATTAAAACTCAAGTGGTGAAGTGCTTCAAGGTTTAAACAAGTGTTTGGGTGGGTTTATGGCCATAAAATGGCCTTGTTTGATGTTCACGGCCCTAGGACCACTCCCCCATGAGTTTACGGCCGTAAACTCATGGTAAGGAGTACCATTTGATGTTTTCAGGTTCCTAACACTTCAAGGATATGATCTATGTTGGGTTCTAGGCATAAGGGAGGAGTTAGGGTGTCATTTGTCCCATTTATAGGGGTTTACGGCCCAAGAACTTGTCTTGGCCGTAAACTCCTTTATCCTTGTGATTCCTTATGTTTTCTAGGCTATAAACACTTTAGGGTACATGTGTAAATTAGTCTCTTGACTTAAGGAAGGTTTTTCGGGCATTTTGGCACGTAAATATGGAGTTCACGGCCCAAGAATTTCCTTGGCCATGAACTCACTTTCACCCTTGATTCTTAATTGTTTTATGGTCTAAAATATGTAATGGTAGCTTCTAGGTTCATTTCCAAGGCTTTGAGGGACATTGGGCACACTTTGGCCCTGAAAAAGGAGTTTACTCTCCAAGTGTTCTTGGGCGGTAAACTCCCAAATCTTGGGGTTTAGATCCGATTTTGATGTTATATAACACAATCTAATCTATATAATACAACTAGATAGAAGTACTCACGATTTGGGATAAAAACCCGAAGATCCATGAGACAGAATTTGGCTTTTCTCTATTTGGAAATGTAACTAATGAATGAATATGGTTCAGATTTCTATATATAGTGCTGAGATTTTTGGCAGAAAATATTTTATTCCTGAAATGAACTCTAATATCATAGAGTATTGGAATAACAGTGTTGCACAAAACCCTAGTGCATCCACTCTCCTGATATCTCCTTAAGTGCTAAACCTGAAATACTCAAACTTATACCTAAAGTCTGAAATTTTATTGTAACTGTTCTAACTTCTATTGGCTTGATATGGTTTGTTCAGAATGGAAATTTCGGGTTGTCACATCATCCCCCTGTTAAAGGGAATTTCGTCCCAAAATTAGAATTTAGATAAGGAAGTAGGCATGAATGATCGAGTCATGAGGAGCAAACTTCCTAATCGATTGGTTCTAGTGCTCCTAAGTGAATTCGGGTTCTCGGTTGGTATCCTAATGAACCTTCACTAACTGGAGCTGGCGTTGCTTTGTCCGCTTGACTTTTCGGTCGAGGGTCACCACGGTTCTAATATGAAGGCGAGGATCTCGACGAGTGGACTTACAAGAGTCCTAACGGAAAGGTATGGTTTCACGATCGAGATGCGAAGAGTAGAATGTACGTTACTAAGTTCGCGGAGGAGATATAGTCTGTGAGATATAGGACCGATTCTGGTAAGAATCTCGGAGGTCCTATGTATCTTGGATTTAGCTTTCCACACTTTATGAAGCTTATTAAGATGTTCCTAGAGTGAGACTTCCTAAAGAACTTGGTCTCTAATTAAGATTTAGCTTTCCAGTCAAGGGCCACTCCTTGCTGGGTCAAGGTCATACGGTTTCCTGTGATTTGCGAGGGGTTCTGGATGAACTATGACAGTAGGTCTGTAAGACCTAGAATTTGGCGAATGACTGTCGGCGTCTCTGGTGTTGACAAATTCTGAACGGTTTTGACAAATTGTAAGAGTACTCAAAATTTCCCACATCACTAACAGTGTGTCACAAAAATTTGGCTCTTCAATTTCAAAACTCGTGCTTAGAGAACTTCGTGAAAAGTACCTCTGAAGGTAATGTTTCCATGGGTTTCTTCTTAATACGAGGGTAGATAAGTAAGTCATTTACATGGAGAAATGACGAACTGATCCAAGTTAGAAAGACATACCCTACTCATTTAGCTTATGAAAACTATGGGCGTATTGGTCCTATCCGAAGGGTATCACTACGGACTCGAAGAGTCCGCATCGAGTTCAAAAGATAGCCTTTCGGACATCCTTCCCTAACACTCAAACTGGTGATATTCGGAGATCAGATCCATTTCTGAAAGTAATTCTTTCCTTGTGTATGCTCAACCAAATCATTTATGCGAGGCAGAGATAACGATTTCTACTGGAAAATCTTGACAGAGTCCTCAATAGCCGAGGTACATACAATGCAATCCGTCGATCTCTGGAAGAATATGACCAGGGTTCTCCAGGGTGAGAAGCCTAGTCTTCTAATTCTATTTATGTGTAGTTCGCTAAGTTGTCTGGGCTGTTCTTGTATCTCCGTAGGTGTTTAGACTGTAGGGAAATCTGTTTACGGAAGTCGTACTGGGTTCTAAGTTTGTTCACATGACGATGCGATATTCTTCGTCTTGGGCAGTCTCCGTCTTGAACTTCATATTTAGAATCCATACTTGATTCAACGATCACAATTTTGTGTATACGAGTCGTATATAATTAAGATTGAAAAGGTAGTCGAATAACTGATTCTTCTTTAAGCTCATATCCTATTGAGAAAAAAAAAAGTTAATGCGGAATCATCAATTCTAAACCTTTAGAACCTTGATTACATATCGCCCCTATGTATACATTCTTCAGCGATAGATTAACCGTATGGATCTTTGGATTGAACTTGACGTACTGTACGAGTAGTACTTCGGGGATTTCTTCGGAAAAGAAAAGAACTATGAGGTACTCCCTGCATGAGTACTTCGGTGTTCTGATATGACGGCTTCGCTAACGACGTTTACTGACAAAGAGATGTACGTATGAAGCTGGTATGGTGTGGATCAAATTGAATCTAGTTGTATGATAATGTCGGAATCATATGAAACTTAAAGACATTAGATTTGATCATAAAACATTTACAGAAAAAAACAACCGTGCACCCATGAACATAGTTATAGTACTTTAGATTTACTACAAGACTATTGCTGCGAATAAGATATACTACAAAAGACAAGTATACGCAGCATGAGCATCCTTATACTGACAGGATCTCGCAAAAGATAAGACTCTAGTTGCACTAGTTTTAAACATGTTTTTGAACGTACAAAATACTAACGATTTGGAGGGAACCTATACTATATTAGGTTCCTTAACTGCCTCTTTCCATTCTGAGGTCAATCTCCTCCGGATTTGTTGTTGCCCTTCTCTGCTGGACAGTCCCTCTTGATTTGTCCCATGACGCCACATAGATGGCATATCTGAGAGGTTTGTACATTGGTGGTTGAAGTAATGTGTTGGATCTGGATCCTGCAGCAGCTGGTAGTATGTCCATTCCTATTGCACTTAAAACAGTGTAACAGACGACAACTACCCAGATGATGAAAGCTACACTCATAGCATTTCGGTAGGTTTCCGGCATATTGCCTGGCTGGTGTAGGGACAATTAGCACACCAGAAGGAATGGTAGTAGGAGGTGCAGATGTCGTAGCTGTGAAGGTTGTTACCGGTGGTTGTTTCTTATTCTCCCTTCGAAGCGATTTGTCCTTCTTTTTGGCCCAAAACTTCCATTTGTTACTCTTGGTCTCGGCACTCGGGGTATCATGGTAGTTTGTTGCTCGTTGAGGTACTGGATTGGCATTGTTGTTAACAGCTCCGCTAACATTCGCCTTGTTAGCGTGAAGGTGGGTCAGAATAGCTGACACGGCATCCGAGACTGCAGCTTGAAAGGTATCCGCATCAACCTGAAGGGTCGGTGCTTGGTTGATGGGTTGATCGTTTTACTTTGGCGACATGATTCTGTTTCACGGAAAGAAAATGAATTTGTGAGCGAGCATGGTTGAACCTAGACGTAGTTCGACTGTTTATGAAAGGAATAGAAGTATTTTCACGAAGGCTTGACCTACATCCCTATGATGCATTCCTAGCAAAGACCGGAAGTAAGTTCTTACAATGGTCTCAAGATGTTTGTCGTTCTAGCCGAGGTATCGTTGGTTGGTGAATAACATGTTCCAACCATTAAAAGAGACTTGGAGATGTCTCCGGAGCTAAATTACTATAGTCCAATGACTTGACTAAAGCATGAATTCAGATAACTCCAATGAAAGTATGATAAAAGTACTTGAATGAAGAATGACACAGAAGTTAGCCGACTATCAAAATCTTTGATATTCATGATGTAAAAGTTCAGGAAAAATGACCTTGTAAAGGTATTACATCATATCCAGAGAAGGTAGTTCTTGATAGCATAAAGACCTAACCAAAAGTACTTATAGTACAAGCTAATTTCATAGAAAATGCCACATCGAGCATAGACAGAAAAACGATTCCTTTTTAACAAGGAAAAATAAAGTAAAACATCTATTAGTGGTGACGGTAATCCCTCTGCTGAAACAGGATATGTAATTGAAACAGGATAGGCCTTCGAATAAGTAATCTTAACTCCAAATTCACACATAATAGGGGTAAAGTAAAGTACTTATAGCCTTAGTGTAATTGAACAGGATATGTAATTGAAACAGGATAGGCCTTCGAATAAGTAATCCTAATTACATATAGCCTTAGTGTATCCACTTAGCAACTATCAACTTAGTAATGAAGATCCCGTTTTAGTTTTCAAGTATAAAGTACTTATAGTAACACCAAATACTCCTATAGTATTTTAATACTCCTATAGTATTTTAAGTTTAATGTTATGTTCTATTTTTCTCATTGTGGTAGGGTTGGTAAGATTTTAGACTTGTTGCAACCACACAACTACACTTAGGCACATGCTAGTTAACCCTCGGATAGTATAGGTGATCAGGCTATATCTTCCCAGTTTTGACTATATGTCTCTAAGTCCACCTGTGTTGCCCAACAATCGTAATTCTTTTGTACTGTCCTAGTGACATTGATTTTAGCATGAATGCAGGCACATATACTTAATTAAATATTTTATTATTTAAAGTATAAACTCTTGGTCAGAGTATTTTTAATCCCTATGTACTTATAGTTAGTATATCTTTTATGGGTTGATATACTTAATTCACTATAAACAATGCTCTGATACAAATCTGTCACACCCCAAAACCAAGAACGGCGGAAATGTTATGGGGCGGAGGACGTCACTCCAAAAAACCTCTAATTAGTGAAGACACATAAAAATTTAAAACATTTTCAAGCAAACGGTTATATGGTCCTAGTAGTGCAGGTCATGATATCTATCAATGATCTACAAATGAACATAACTATAAGTACTAGAATTTGAATGCCTTTATGTTATCCATGTTTTGGTCAAATTTCTAGTGATTTTTTATGCTTAGAGCGTTGTTTGGCCTCATTTATGGTGGTGTGAGTGTGAGTATGAGTTCTCATGTATATAACTTAGATTCAAGTAAAGATAATTGGAGGGTGAACGACTATCTCCATTAGTTCGATTCTTGCATAGAAGTTGTCATCCAAAAACAAAAAGAACGGTTGTCTGTCGAGATTAGTTACCTTTATAAAAAGATTTTGTTTTTTACATTAAAAAGGATTAAAATTTAGCAGAAAAAGAATCATGTGAAATGTGAGTGGAATGTAGCAGTTGGAAGCAAAGTTAGATCCTTTATGTGGTCATGATTTTGGACTCGTAGTTGTGTCTCTTGTAAAATCAAATTTACGGGTTCGTCGACAATTTTCCTATTGTTATTACCCATGCTCCTTTTATGTATGAATGCGTTTTCATGTTTTGTTTAGGTACATATAGAAAATTTAGCAGAAAAAGATGCAACAGAGAAGTCAGATGCTGTTAGAGAAGGTTTCTTCGCTGAACTCACTTTAGATTCAAAAAAGGGGGCAAAGCAAATTAATAAATGAAAGAACAAAGAATACTGAAACATAAAGGATACAAAGGTTTGAAAAAAAAATTATAGTTTGTGTTGAGAGATATTGTTGCATTTGTAGGCTACAAGCACTTGTAACAGTCAAAGTGTTGATGAAGATGGTGTTGATATGAATAAACATGAAGATGAAGCTATGAGAAGAAAAATGGAGCTTGAAGCTGAAGAAAGGAAACTTGAAGAAACATTGGAATATCAAAGAAGAATTGAAGATGAAGCCAAACAAAAACATTTTGCAGTAGAACAAGATAAAAGTAACTCAAGAGTACAAGTTTTTGATGTTTTCAAGAATCAAACAAATGGACATGTGGAAGATACTTCTAGAAAGATTAAAGCAAAAGATGATGATGAAAAAAGATTCCAAGCTGACATGTCCAAAGTCGTCCGCCAAAGCATTGGTGTTTATTTATCTACTATATCAAACATATTTTTTTTAAATTTTTTTTTGCTAACATGTTAAAATTGCTATCTTTTTTAAATATTCTAGATGTGTTTCATTCACACTATGAAGGTGGTGATCCGTTTGTGACATGTGCATTACATAATATATTTAAAGCTTTAAACACAACTTCTTTAGACTCAAAATCTCAAGTTGTTTCCCCTACTGCTCTTAGAATGGCTCTCAACAACTTCTATCCACAAAGTAGCTTTATTTCAGGAGGTAAACTAAACAATAAAGTAATAAACATTATATATATATATATATATATATATATATATATATATAATATTTGTGTATATATTATTTTATAAGATTATCTTATGATGTGATTTGGCAGAGACAAATAAATGATGCTTCTGAAGTATTAGGAGTGATATTTGACTGTTTATAGTAGTTGTTCATATCATCTGGTTCTGGTTGTGGTTGTGGTGTTATTCTTGATATTTAAGAAAAGAAAAACAATGGAATGTGAATGGGGGAATGGGAGTGTTAAAATAAGGAGGGGTGTACAGCATATAATATTTAATTATAAAATTGTAATTAGTTTTGTAATTTTGTGTATTTATTTGTAGAACTCCATGTAGGTAAGAATGGTGACTGGTCACAATCTACAAATAGCAAGAGTAATTGCATTGGAATGTGGAATTTTGGTGTCAATTGCTGATGCAGTAGAGCAAAATCTAATTAAAGGGAAATATTTCCATGCCATGTCAAAAACACAAAGACTAGAAGTTTGTAACATCTCGGAATAGCAAGAGTAGAGTTGAAGGACGAAAAGTGTAATTTTGAAGGGCAACTCGGCGAGTTTATGGATGGACTCGGCGAGTAGGGTCGCGAATTTGGTCGCGAGTCATGTGGCCTACTTGGCGAGTCCAAAGATGGACTCGACGAGTAGGTGATGAGTGGAGAAAACCCTAAATCCAGGGAATGAGTCCTATTTAAAGAACATTATATCCTATCCTCAGCCTCTTTGATCCCCCTTGAAGTCTAGAAACCCTAGAAAGCGTGATTAAAGAAGATTGGAGTGCATTTGGAGCTTGGGGGGTGTTTGTTGAAGAAATCTTGAAGGAGAAGAGGCTTGGATCAAAGGGCTTTGCTTCGATTCGAGTTTCATTGCAGTTGGGGCATTCTTTTGAGGTAATATCTCGTTCTTGGGCCATCACTCATATGGATTCATCATTTTGGGGTTTATAGGGAGCTTATCTTTGTATGTTTTAGAGTTTGGAGGATAGATCTGAGGTTGCTACCTCAGATCTGGGTTGGGGAAGGCCTAAAGAGCATTAAAGTCCCTGTGTTTGAGTGCTTAGTGAAGCTATCATGTCCCAAACCCTAGCTCTAAAGTGAATAAGGCCTAGATCTCTTTGGATTCACGTAAAGTTTGCCACTTTACATGATGGATGGATTGTAGGAGGCTAGATCTATGTTTTGGATCAATTGCATGGCCTGTAATGCTTCTGTATTGATTCAGAGTGGTGGTACTCGGCGAGTCACATGGGTGGACTCGACGAGTTGCTTGAAGATAAGCTGGAACTCGACAAGTTGGATGAACAACTCAGCGAGTAGGTTGAAGATAGCCTTAGACTCTGCGAGTCTGTTCTTGGACTCGGTGAGTCTTGTCGAAGAGTCCCAATATTTTCTGGTTGAGTCGAGAATCGGTGAGTCGAGGGATGACTCGGTGAGTTGGGTGTGAGTGGACTCAGAGTTGTTGAACTCGGCGAGTTAGGTCGCGGATTGAGGGAAGTTTTGAGCATAGGGACTCGGCGAGTCATCGGGTTGACTCGGCGAGTAGAGTCAGTCATGGGTTGACTATGACTTTATCCACGGTTGACCAGTTGTCTTCCAGGGGTATTTTGGTAATTAAGGGTATATATTGAGTTGAGTGTTTTGGTGTTCAGTGGAGGAGTTCGTGTCGGAGTTCGGAGCAGCGGGATCTTATCCTTTCAGCCGGCAGTTTCGAGGTGAGTTATCCTCACTATATCAACAAGGTCTAAGGCACCAAGGCCGACCCTTTTATCGGATTGAGATCCGGGCATCTGTTGTTATGTTAATGCTTTGATATGTCTGCATCCTGGTAGTTAGGATGGTATTCGTTAGGGACCTGGTTCAGGTCGGTATCCTGGTATGTAGGGTGAGGCCATGCTAGTGACCGGTTAGGTCGGTATCCTGTTAGAGCATGTTGTGATATGTGATCTGCTAGATCGGTTGCCTGAATATGAATTGTTATGTAATTGCTTGTTTATGTGCACATGGTTGTTTGGACTGGAGTTGGGTTGAGGCGGGTCCTGCTTCGTGTTGTAGGCGAAGATACCCAGGGTGGACCGGTTATTCCGAAGGCCCAGCGAGCGGTCCGGATAGGCTGTAGGCCCCACGAGGGCGGACCAGACGTGCCGAGGCTCGGAGAGTGGACCAGGCCGACTGAAGGCCCGATGCGGGCGGACCAGTCATACTGTAGACTCAGAGAGTGGACTAGGTGAGTTGAAGGCCCAGTGCGGGTGGACCAGTCATACTATAGACTCAAAGAGTGGACCAGGTGAGTTGAAGGCCCAGTGCGGGCGGACCAACCACACTGCAGACTCGAGGGACAAGATTGGACACGGAGGGTGGACTAGGTGGATTGAAGACCCTACAAGGCGGACCAGTCCCACAGTAGACCCGATATGCATGGTTGTTCTGTGATTCGTTATGAGATACCATGTTACGTGTATGGTATATGTGGTTGGTATTTTGGGGGTATCTCACTAAGCTTTTGGGCTTACAGTTGTGGTTTAATGTTTTTCAGGTTCATCAGGAGACTGTGGCAAGTCGAAGGCGTGATCGTACCGCTCCTCATGATTTTGTAGCAATGAGATTCTGGGAATACTCTAAATGATTTGTATTGAAAACCTTTTTGTAATAATTTAATGAAATCGAGTTGTTTTTTTATTTAAATTTAAATTTGTTGGATTTTTCGGTCGTTACAATTTGGTATCAGAGCCTTGGTTTGAGTGAACTGGAGGAACATTTGTGTGACTCCAGTCTCAAATCGAGGAGGGTTTTCAAAAGAGAATTTAAAATGGGTTTCAAAATAAGTAAACGCGCGTTGTAAATGTGTGTCATCTTCCTTTATGAAAGTGCCTTCATTGACACACAATGCGTGTCGTAAACACGCGTTGTAAATGTGTGCCGTAATTGCACATCGAAAATAGACAACGCGCTAAAGTGTGTTGTCTTTCATTATGATAGGGCCTTCCTTGACACACATTTGTGTGTCATATGAGTGTTTTACGACACACATTGCGTGTCATAAAAGGCTGTATTTGTAGTAGTGGTGATTGGATACATATAATCACATGTGATTATATGTATTTAATCACATATCATTTATGTAGACAATATTTAATTTTGAGGATTCGATTGAATAATTGGTTTTGTCTATTTAATCAAATGTGATTATATATAATCGCATATGATTTGAGGTGGAGAACATTCCTTTTTGCCTTCTTGATTCCATAGTTGTGCTCCTCTACTTAATCACTTGCAATTATACATATAATCACATGTGATAAAATACATGAGAACAATTATTGAATAGACAAAGCGAAAATGAATTGTGTCCACATAAATCATATGTGATTAGAATCATATACTCACAAGTGATTAGGTGTATTTAATCAATATGAATAGTGTGGATAAATATTTGTTTTCATGTTCTTGATTCATTTTATGGAATTGTGCATATAATCACGTGTGATTATATGTATCTAATCACATATGATTTATATAGACATGATTCATTTTTTCCAAATAAAATCATATGTGATTAGAAACATATAATCACATCTTATTAAATGTATTTAATCAAATATGATTAAATTGAAAAAAAAATTTTATTGAATTGAGAACATGAAAATGAATCTTAGCCACATAAATCATAAGTGATTATATTCATATAATCGCATGCGATTATATGTATCTAATCATATATGATTTATGTGATAATATATTCATTTTCATGTTCACGATTCAATAACTGTTCTCATGTATTCAATAGTTGTTATCATGTATTTAATCTAGTTTTTATCATGTATTTAATCATATGTCGTTTTATGTATTTAATCACATATGATTAATATGGACAAAGAACAACTATTGAATCGAAAACACAAAAATGAATCTTGTGCATATAAGTCATATGCGATTAGATCATATAATCACATGTGATTTAATACACAAGAACATATAACGAATCGAGAATGTGAAAATGAATCTTGTATGCTTGTCTCACTAGATAACAAATTACATTCTGCCTTTCATTGTTCACTCTACTGGATTAGGCTCCGTGAACAATAACACCAAACAAGTAGTGCCTATATAATAGGAGACATAATGTAACTCACCTCATTAAACTTGAAAATTAGCTACCGTGAGCTAGATGGATCATTTCCTTTTCCAGAATGTACCCAAGAATTATAACATTATTTAGCTTGTCCTTTGTTGTATACTCTTATAAAACTTATGTACATATTTCCTTATTTTATCTTTGGTTGTAGTGCTCTGTTTGGGATCTTTTTTCTTACCTTTGCATCCATTCTTTAATTTCAATAAAATAATATTAGTAAATTTCCCCCTTTTATCTTTTTATATATTTAAAGATCTTGTTCTAATGATTTTAGTTTGATTCTATATTAAATTTACAAGTTAGTAACTTTAAGCTATCAATTTTTGGACTACTCAACACTCTAGGAATAAACTGTACCAATATAATAAGAATTATATAAGTCCCTTTATATATCGGAAATTATACATCCATATATAATTATAGGCTTTAGAATTTTGGCATTTGGAGTTCTGATGAATTTATTATGATATTTTGAAGACAATGCATAAAATTCATGGCAACACGGACCAACCTGAGAAGATTCTCAATTTTACCCCTAAAGGAGTTGAAATTTCAAAATGTGATTTTTAGGTGTTCTTATTGAATTGCATAGACTTTAGAATTTTGATGACAGATTTGGGAAAATTGATCATAATAGCTTTTAAATCACTTTTGTTGTTCTATTAAGGACTTAATGGTTATGCCTTAAGTTTAACACTTTTAACATGACTGTTGGTTACGTATTAGGCTATTGAGATGTGAAAATTCAATTTAACCTAAGGGACTTAATGATTGGATTAATGAGGGTTCAAAGTTAAGAACTTTCACATAAAATGCCACGTTTACACATATTAGGTTCTTTCAGACAATATGACAAACACCTTGTATGCATGAAATCCTACAATGATCATCAACTCTCTGATTGACTCTAATCCAGCACCTAGAGCTTACTATTTTCATTTATCATAGGAAACAAATTAATCAAGAAGCAAGCTAACAGATTCTACTTCTGCTTGATGATTTCTTGATTCCAAAGCCAATATCAGGCTCCCAACATGAAAAAAAATAAAAGATAATTGTTTTCGGAATATGAAGTTACATAGGTATAGAAAACAACTAAGTTACCATGACAGATGAAAAAGGCAATGAAATTGGTTATCAGCCTCCAACAAATTCCTCTACAAATACAATTTCAAATAGATCTACCAAATTGGTCAAGCTAAATTATCAAATGAAAAGTTTCTTAATGAAATTATTATAAAACAATGTTTCAAAACCATTAATTTGATAAAAACAATTAAAAAACA